GCATAGTGTCTTGTTTCAAGGAGTTCCACAAGCTCCAGCAGTTCGAAAACCATGTCCAGTGATTGTAAATATGTAAATATATGATAGAACATTAGTATTATACAAGATTTGTGCATGTTTATTGTAATAAACAACAGTGGTAAACAATAATATGATAATAACTTTAGTGCGGTTGTTGTGTTCAATACAGTGAGTTTATATATATACATTATATACAGTATTGGTCTCTCAGGCCCCAAATGTTAGTAGGAAAAGAAAAAATTAGAAAAGAAAGGAAAATACAAAAAACGTTAAATAAAGTAATACGCGTATGTGGAAATCGTTGATGTTGCCGCCACCCGGTCATTTTGGGTGAACTTCTTGGCACTGTATCTCGGTAAGTACTGATAAGAAAAAAAATTTTTTTTTGTCTTATTACTTTCACAAAAATACATGTCTTCTTTCTTTCAACACACTGGCCGTATCCCACCGTGGCAGGGTGGCCCAAAAGGAAAAACGAAAGTTTCTCCTTTTACATTTAGTAATATATACAGGAGAAGAGGTTACTAGCCCCTTGCTCCCGGCATTTCAGTCGCCTCTTACAACATGCATGGCTTATGGAGGAAGAATTCTGTTCCACTTCCCCATGGAGGTAAGAGGAAATAAACAAGAACAAGAACTAGTAAGAAAAATGGAAGAAAACCCTGAGGGGTGTGTGTATATACATATATGCTTGTACATGTATGTGTAGTGTGACCCAAGTGTAAGTAGAAGTAGCAAGACGTACCTGAAACCTTGCATGTTTATGAGACAGAAAAATAGACACCAGCAATTCTACCATCATGTAAAACAATTACAGGTTTCAGTTTTACACTCACTTGGCAGGACGGTAGTACCTCCCTGGGTGGTTGCTGTTTACCAACCTACTACCTAGGAAAAATACATGTGTACTCTTTAATTCTGTAAGTTTTTTTTTTTTTTTTTTTTTTTTTTTTTTTTTTTTTTTTTTTTTTTTTTTTTTTTTTTTTTTTTTTTTCAAAATTTCTTGGACACTGGAGCACCACTTTAGATTTTGGCCTTGGACCCTGAAAGGGTTAACCTTCCTCAGAAAAATTGCCAAAAAACATGTTATTGTCAATTTGAGACCTGTTTCAAGCTATTTCTAGTCTGCAACAGACCAGTCATTAGTTTCACTAGTTGTCTTCCATTTTATCGACTGATACCAATAAACGCCCAATAAAATTATAAAATCTCCTCTAGAAAACACTGCTATTTTAAACCAAACATAGTCATAGGTTTGCTTTTCCGATCATGTGTTGCGTGGGGCAGGATTTTTTCCTATGTTATGCATGCTTACCGCACAGACCCATTATCTCATGTCTAGGCCAAAGTTTACTGCTCTGAATATTTGAGGGTTTAGTGCTGAAAACGTAGATCTTCCTGAGTGACACTGGTGCCAGGAATGTAGATCTTCCTATGAGACAGTGAAAGGGTTAATAAAATTAGCATTGTTTTCTATTTTCACACTTGTGTAACAGTGAAAAAGAGGGAAGAGCCAACAGAGTAGGTTTTTGTAAGAAATATACATTAAATAGGATGAGGATAAGTAGAAGAGGGTGCTTTGGAGTGACAAAGGCACTTTGTGTAAGAGGTGGTGGAAGTAACGAATGTGTGTGTGTGTGTGTGTGTGTGTGTGTGTGTGTGTGTGTGTGTGTGTGTGTGTGTGTGTGGAGGAAGTCTGTCAGATAGTCTTGATTCTAAATATACAACTGTATTAAGCACCTGCCTCCCTCATGTTTTGGGGGTGTTTTAGCTACCATGCTTTCGGGGAGTTAGTGATACTGAAAAAGAATGTTTTGGTAAATTAAGGTTGGTATATAGAGCTTTTAGCAGACTATTTGCTTGTCAGTTTTAACCCTTTGACTGTTGCAAGCCCCTTTCTGAAATTGTCATTCTGTGTCGAAAAATTTTTGGAAAAATTTTTTTTCTTATGAAACGATAGAGAATCTTTTCTTGATGGTAATGACACCAAAAATACGAAATTTGATTGAAAACTCGCAGAATTATGCTCCCGCGAAGTTAGTGATCTCGGCGACATACACGCATCTGCGATTTCGCCGACTTTGAGCCCTGTTTTTGGCCAATTCCGTTGTTCCAGTTGACCAAACTCATAGCTGTTTCTTTAGAACTCCGTTTTTTCTATCAGGTGAGTACAAGAAACTGCCCATTTACTGATTTGAAATACCCAATAAAATTGTCAGAAATTGGCAATTTGGCCAATTTCGCGCAAATTAAAAAAGATGCCAATTTCAAAATAGGGTCCAGAATAAACAATGTAGACATTCTTGGCACTAAAATAAGATATCCTCTGTTCATTAGTCACGTCTCTAGGCCCCTCTTATATTACTATTGCTTTCTATTTTGATTTTTTATTCATACAAAAAATACAAAATTTACTGTCATGCAGACTACTGCATTATTGTAAAAATGGTATAAATAATATCAGTGCATTAGTGAAAGAATATTAGACTCCCCAGTTGACGTGTATTGGACGTGTGGTGTGATTTGATTACTCCTGAACATTGGTAAAAATCGAACAATTCTGCTATTTTGAGCTCAGTTTCAAGGTTGTTTTCATGGTGAAACTAATCAAAATCATCTCTACTTCTGTAATATGTTCTCCATTCTATCAAACGAGACCAAGAAAACGAGAATACAACCATAAATACTATACGAAAATACACCTCAAAGTCGGCGTTTTAATCCGAAAAACTGTACTAGTGTGCCTAAATTCTAGTGCCTTCAAATCTAGCGAAAGCTGGTAGGCCTACATATGAAAGAATGGGTCTGTGGTCAGTGTGCGCAGTATAAAAAAAACCTGCAGTACACAGTGCGTAATGAGAAAAAAAAAACTTTGAGACCGTGTTTTTTGGATTAAAATGCCGACTTTGAGATGTGTTTTCGTATAGTATTTATGGTTGTATTCTCGTTTTCTTGGTCTCATTTGATAGAATGGAGAACATATTACAGAAATAGAGATGATTTTGATTAGTTTCACGATGAAAACGACCATGAAGTTGAGCTCAAATTAGCGGAAATGTTAAATTTTTACCAATGTTCAAGAGTAAGCAAATCACACCACACGTCCAGTACACGTCAGCTGGCGAGTCTGATATTCTTTCACTAGTGCACTGATATTATTTATACCATTTTTACAATGCAGTAGACTGCATGACAGTAAATCTTCTATTTTTTGTGTGAATGAAAAATCAAAATAGAAAGCAAGAGTTATATAAGAGGGGCCTAGAGATGTGACTAACGAACAGAGGATATGTTATTTTAGTGCCAAGAATGTCTGCATTGTTTATTCTGGACCTTATTTTGAAATTGGCATCTTTTTTAATTTGTGTGAAATTGGCCAAATTGCCAATTTCTGACCACTTTATTGGGTAGTTGAAATCAGTGAATGGACGGTTTCTTGTACTCGGTTGATAGAAAAAATGGAGTTCTAAAGAAATAGCTATGAGTTCGGTTGACTGGAACAATGGAATTGGCTAAAAATAGGGCTCAAAGTCGGCAAAATCGCTGGTGCATGTATGTCGCTGAGATCGCTGACTTCATGGGAGAGTAATTCCATAAGTTTTCGATCAAATTTCATACTTTCGGTGTCATTACCATTGGGAAAAGATTCTCTATCATTTCATAATAAATTTTTTTTTTTTTTTTTTTTTTTCCAAAAATTTTTGGACATGGAATGAGTTTCAGAAAGGGGCTTTTGACAGTCAAAGGGTTAACTACTGCTGCTTCTTTTTTAACCATTATGGGATAGAAGCACTTTCATTATTCTAGTACTGTAAGTTATAGCAATATTGTTTTAGTTAGTAGCACAGAAGTAAACAAAGATAGCAAGAACTAGTGTGGAGAGGAAGGGAGGGGAAAATGACTTTGGAATCATAAATAACCAATCATAGCACATTGATAAATAGAGATAGCTCCAGGTGCCAGATCAACCAGGCTGTGATGGATATGTGGGGTAGCAGGCCTTCATCAGCAACAGCCTGGTTGACCAGGCAAGCACCAGACGAGCCTGGCTCATGGCCGGGCTCAGAGAGTAGATAAACTCTTGAAACTCTTAGAAGGTATATCAAAGGTAGTTATAATAACAAATTTTAAGATACTTATAGCATCATTGTTACAACAAAAACAAATGTGGCTGGGTATTGTGCATGAGCTTTGCAAGATAATTACTAGATTTTGTTAGTATTTATAAAGTTTGTATTACCACCAGGGACACAGAAAGCAGCTGTGCCTGCAGTAAAAGTGGAATATGTTGCATATATTATATAATTCATAATTTACAAAATTATACAAGAACATGTTTGTGAAGCCTTGGGTTTATTATAAAGTCAGCTTATCATTGGGATGCCTTCTTTTACTGCAGTCACAGCATGGCTAAACATATTTCTTTTTGTAATCTAAGCATGAGTTATAGTGATTTAAAAATTTTCTGTAAAGTTAAACATACTGTCATGACAGATTATGGAAATTCTGTATATACAGTTATTGCAGTACACTTGCAGTCTCCAGGATTAGTTTCTGGTAATGGCATGGAAGTACATTCTATATTATACTGTATTGTTGAACATGTTAACTGTGATTGTGATAACTTGACTATCCTTTGCTTGTAGTTGGAGTCAGTTTTAACCATGATGACAAATTCAATTGATCAGAATAGTTTTTTTTAAACTGACACAAGTAGTATACAGAAGCACCAACTAGTTCTGCTCCAGACAGCCAGAACCACATTGAAGTTTCTAGCATTGTTGTATTGGTAAATAATAAGTAAACATGTGTTGTAATGTTAACTAATTCATTGTGTACTTAAGCCCTTCTAAAGTGCAGTACTTCTTTAAACTACACCTCCAATTATATCTTGACGTGTTTAAACCCTGTAAATATAATTAAAGTATATTTTGAACGTTGGTTATTTGGAAGCTATAAGTCTTATTCGTATTCCACAGTGGCACCAGCACAACTAATGTGACACAGACCAGAGTGACACACCGACCTCATGTGCATGTGACACCTCTTAATGTACCAGGGATGGGTATGAACCAATTTGACCCATTCCTTCCATGCCAAAGCCACCACATCAGACCTGCTACGAGGAGGAGACATCAAGCACAGCCACAGGTGGGATCTAGTTTGGTTTTGTGAAGTGTAGATTTCACTGGCACATTTACGTTGCTGTTGCTAGGGAATGATATTTTTTTTCATGTTTCACCACACTAAATTTACAAGATTTTACCATGTTACTCTTAGGTCGTATTTGTTTCATAACAATATACAGTGGACCCCCGCATACCGTTGGCATCACATAATGTTAAATCCGCATAGTGATACATTTTATCACTAAAATTTTGCCTCGCATAGCGCTAAAAAACTCGCTCAACGCTATTCGTCCGAGACGCGTCTATGTGAGGCCTGAGCCAGCCTCGCATGTTCCGCCGGTGGCATTGTTTACAAGCCAGCCTCCGCGGTAACATCCAAGCATACAATCGGAACATTTCGTATTATTACAGCGTTTTTGGTGATTTTATCTGCAAAATAAGTGACCATGGGCCCCAAGAAAGCTTCTAGTGCCATCTCTGTGGTAAAAAGGGTGAGAAATATTATCGAAATACTGTGGTACCATGGTCAACTGCTGATGCTGCTGCTGCTGTAGCACTGTCAGCTGCTGCTGCTGTAGCACTGTCAGCTGCTGCTGCTGCTGTACCACCGTCAGCTGCTGCTGCTGCTGTAGTACCGTCTGCTGCTGCTGTAGCACTGTCAGCTGCTGCTGCTGTAGCACTGTCAGCTGCTGCTGCTGTAGCACTGTCAGCTGCTGCTGCTGTAGCACTGTCAGCTGCTGCTGCTGTAGCACTGTCAGCTGCTGCTGCTGTAGCACTGTCAGCTGCTGCTGCTGCTGTAGCACTGTCAGCTGCTGCTGCTGTAGCACTGCTGCTGCTGCTGCACTGTCAGCTGCTGCTGCACTATCTGCTGCTGCTGCACTGTCAGCTGCTGCTGCACTATCTGCTGCTGTAGCACCGTCAGCTGCTGCTGCTGCTGTACCACCGTCAGCTGCTGCTGCTGCTGTACCACCGTCAGCTGCTGCTGCTGCTGTAGTACCGTCTGCTGCTGCTGTAGCACCATCTACTGCTGCTGTAGCACTGTCAGCTGCTGCTGTAGCATTGTCAGCTGCTGCTGCTGTAGCACTGTCAGCTGCTGCTGCTGCTGCTGCTGCTGCTGCTGTAGCACCATCAGCTGCTGCTGTACCACCGTCAGCTGCTGCTGCTGCTGTAGTACCGTCTGCTGCTGCTGTAGCACCGTCTGCTGCTGCTGTAGCACTGGCAGCTGCTGCTGCTGCTGTAGCACCGTCAGCTGCTGCTGCTGCTGTAGCACCGTCAGCTGCTGCTGCTGCTGCTGCTGTAGTACCATCTGCTGCTGCTGTAGCACCGTCTGCTGCTGCTGTAGCACTGTCAGCTGCTGCTGCTGTAGCACTGTCAGCTGCTGCTGCTGCTGTAGCACCGTTGTTGGTGTGGCTTATTGAGAATACCAAGAAACAATTAACCCCAGAGGGTTAGCCACCCAGGATAACCCAAAAAAGTCAGTGTCATCGAAGACTGTCTAACTTATTTCCATTGGGGTCCTTAATCTTGTCTCCCAGGATGCAACCCACACCAGTCGACTAACACCCAGGTGAACAGGAAAAAATGCCTGGAACTAGTGCTCATATTGGTGAATTTAAAGCCAGCAAAGGTTGGTTTGAGAGATTTAAGAATCGTAGTGGCATACACAGTGTGATAAGGCCTGTTCTGGAAGAAAATGCCAAACAGGACCTACAGTACTCAGGAGGAAAAGGTACTCCCAGGACACAGTGTCTTATCAGTCATTGCTGCATCTTCAATAAAGGTAAGTGTCATTTATTCTTCATTTAGTAGAGTAGTACATGCACAATATATATTGTGCATGTACTACTCTACTATTGTGCATGTATCCTTCTCTTTGTGTGTAGGAAAATGTATATTTCATGTGGTAAAATTTTTTTTTCATACTTTTGGGTGTCTTGCAAGGATTAATTTGATTTCCATTATTTCTTATGGGGAAAATTCATTCGCATAACGATAATTTCGCATAACAATGAGCTCTCAGGAACGGATTAATATCGTTATGCGGCAAGAAAAGAGGATTATTTTTTTGCTTGAAAATAATCTCCCCTCTCCCCTGCACACACACAAATTCATGCACACGAAATTTATTTTCAGGGTATGCCACAGTTAAAAGGGTAATGCTAGAATGGGTGAGAAAGTCGTAGATGGTGTAGTAGGTAAGTTTGGTGTGTTTTTTTTTCTCTCAACAAGTCAGCCATCTCCCAACGAGGCAGGGTGACCCAAAAAGAAAGAAAATCCCCAAAAAAGAAAATACTTTCAGCATCATTCAGCACTTTCACTTCACTCACATAATCACTGTTTTTGCAGAGGTGCCCAGAATACAACAGTTTAGAAGTATATACTTATAAAAATACACAATATATCCCTCCAAACTGCCAATATCCCAAACCTCTCCTTTAGAGTGTAGGTATTGTACTTCCCATTTCCAGGACTCAAGTCCGGTTACATAAAATAACCGGTTTCCCTGAATCCCTTCCCTTCTCACACTCCAACAGCTCGTCAGGTCCTAACTACCATTTGTCTCCATTCACTCCTATCTAACACGCTCACGCACGCTTGCTGGAAGTCCAAACCCCTCGCCCACAACACCACCTTTACCCCCTCCCTCCAACCTTTTCGAGGACGATCCCTATGAAGCCTTCTTTCCCCTAAAGATTTATACACACTCCATGTCATTCTACTTTGATCCATTCTCTCTAAATGACCAAACCACCTCAACAAACCCTCTTCAGCCCTCTGACTAATACTTTTATTAACTCCACACCTTCTAATTTCCACACACTGAATTTTCTGCATAATATTACACCACACATTGCCCTTAGACAGGACATCTCCACTGCCTCCAACCACCTACTTGCTGCAGCATTTACAACCCAAGCTTCACACCCATATAAAAGTGTTGGTACTACTATACTTTCATACGTTCCCTTCTTCACCTTCATAGATAACATTTTTTGCCTCCATATACACCTCGATGCACCACTCACCTTTTTTTCTTATCAGTTCTATGATTAACCTCATCCTTCATAAATCCATCCACTGACACATCAACTCCCAAATATCTGAAAACATTCACTTCTTCCATACTCCTCCTCCCCAATTTGATATCCACTTTTTCTTTATCTAAATCATTTGATACCCTCATCACCTTACTCTTTTCTATGTTCACTTTCAACTTTCTACCTTTACACACACTCCCAAATTCATCCACTAACCGTTGCAGTTTTTCTTTAGAATCTCCCATAAGCACAGTATCATCAGCAAAAAGAAACTGCATCACTTCCCATTTTGTATTTAATTCCCCATAATTTAATCCCACCCCTCTCCTGAACATCCTAGCATTTACTTCTTTTACAACCCCATCTATAAATATATTAAACAACCATGGTGACATTACACATCCCTGTCTAAGACCTACTTTTACCGGGAAGTAGTCTCCCTCTCTTCTACACACCCTAACCTGTGCCACACTATCCTCATAAAAACTCTTTACAGCATTTAGTAACTTACCTATTCCATATACTTGCAACATCTGCCACATTGCTCTCGTATCCACTCTATCATATGCTATTTCTAAATCCATAAATGCAATGAAAACTTCCCTACCTTTATCTAAATACTGTTCACATATATGCTTCATATATTCTGTCTTACCTCTAATTCTTTCAATAATAACCCTACCGTACACTTTTCCTGGTATACTCAGTAAACTTATTCCTCTATAATTTTTACAATCTCTCTTGTCCCCCTTCTCTGTATATAAAGGGACTATACATGCTCTCTGCCAATCCCTAGGTACCTTCCCCTCTTTTATACATTTTTTTTTAACAAGTTGGCTGTCTCCCACCGAGGCAGGGTGACCCAAAAAAGAAAGAAAATCCCCGAATAGAAAATACTTTCATCATCATTCAGCACTTTCACCTTACTCACACATAATCACTGTTTTTGCAGAGATGCTCAGAACACAACAGCTTAGAAGCATATACCTATAAAGATAAACAACATGCCCCTCCAAACTACTAATAACCCGAACCCCTCCTTTAGAGTGCAGACACTGTACTTCCCATTTCCAGGACTCAAGTCCGGCTATATAAAAATAACCGCTTTCCCAGAATTCCTTCACTAAATATTACCCTGCTCACACTCCAACAGATCGTCAGGTCCCAAATACCATTTGTTTCCATTCACTCCTGTCTAACACGCTCACGCACGCTTGCTGGAAGTCTAAGCCCCTCGCCCACAAAACCTCCTTTACCCCCTCCAACGCTATCCCCCCCCCTGCTTTTAACATTTGTCATGATCTCGTCAGTTCCAGCTGCTTTACCCCCTTTCATTCTACGTAATGCCTCACACACCTCCCCCGTACTCACATCCTGCTCTTCTTCACTCGTAAAAGATGGTATACCTCCCTGGCCAGTGCATGAAATTACCGCCTCCCTGTCTTCGTCGACATCTAAAAGTTCCTCAAAATATTCTCGCCATCTACCTAATACCTCCATCTCCACATCTACTAACTCCCCTACTCTGTTTTTAACTGACAAATCCATTCGTTCCCTAGGCTTTCTTAACTTGTTTAACTCACTCCAAAATTTTTTCTTATTTTCATTAAATTTTCTTGACAGTGCCTCTCCCACTCTATCATCCGCTCTCCTTTTGCACTTTCTCACCACTCTCTTCACCTTTCTTTTACTCTCCATATACTCTACTCTTCTTATAACACTTCTGCTTTGTAAATACCTCTCATAAGCTACCTTTTTCTCTTTTATCACTCCCTTTACGTCATCATTCCACCAATCACTCCTCTTTCCTCCTGCACCCACCCTCCTATAACCACAAACTTCTGCCCCCCCATTCTAATACTGCATTTTTAAAACTATTCCAACCCTTTTCAAGCCCCCTCACTAGTCATACTTGCACCAGCCCAGCTTTCTGCCAATAGTTGCTTATACAGTAGGGCCCCACTTATACGGCGGGTTAGGTTCC